CTGCTATCATGGGAGTAAGGGTTCTAATTAATTTTGGCCAGATCTTGTCGATTCCTGGGGCACTGTTTACGCAGGAGGGCTTTATTTGCTTACGATGGCTGATGGGGTAAATTTGACGCTGGAGAAACCGACGACATTGGCTGGTAGTTGATTGGGCGAAGATTTCGTAGTATGGCTGTGGAACTGTGCGCTGAGCTTGGCAATTTTCTTGCAAACGTTTCTTCACCAATCGAGGTGACATCATCAGTGCGTAGTGGAGTGGCATGCAATAGCGTAGAGTAGCGTAGAGGAGCCTCGGTGAGAGTGTCACCTCGATTGGTGACGAAACATTTGAAACCAAATTGCCAAGCTCAGCGCACAGTTCAACAGCCATCTGAACAACCTGAGCTACCAGTTTTCACTACTATAGCCAATTTCGTAGTATTTGTAGCCACTGAGCCAAACTACAGCAGTAGAACTTTCGCGGTATCCACAGCTATAGCCATTAAGCCACTAGCTGCTTAAGTATTGGTATTCCAGGTTCAATCTTTCTTTTGCCATTCACATACCTGCATAGCATTTTGGTGTTACTCGTAAATTTGAGTACCATGGTCTTCTGCTTTTCGTACTTGGTGATTCTAATGGGTGACGTGGAGTAATTTCTGATGGTTTTGTACTTCTACCATATGATATCACATGGGCTTAGAGCAGGTTGCCTCCAAACCTCATCTCTTCTGCTGAGCCATTTACGTGTTCAGTTCGGGATCCAAGTATTGGTCTGGCACGATGCTCGTAATGGTACAACTTTGATGCTGATTGTCCGACTCAGTAAAATTACTCTTCCACTTCATTCCATGCGTTGTTTGCCGAATTGTGAATCTGTAAGCGCCGGTCAACGGTTTTTGCTAAGTTTTGAAGCTCGTATAGTCATATAGTCATATAGTATAGTCGTATAGTTCGTTGAAGTTCTTGTCCTTCAACAATACTAGCATAACACACATAACCAAACTATAGGACTGTACGGTCGCTACTGCCTATTGTAGGGTCGTGTGCGACTGACTCAACCATCAACTAGTCGTTTGTCAGGATTAGGTCCAGGAATGTTGGTTTGTTTAAACCGCAATGTCTGGTTGGTCGATGCACGTGGTAATACAAAACTGCCATAGACAAGAACTAACGTTTTTATTTGAATATGACCCACTGGGGGACACTGCTGCTATTAAAGGTACATGGAAGTTGCCCATCATAAAAAGATGAGAGCACTTGTTTGAAGTTCCATAGTGCAAGGAGTTTAACAATAGGTTATCGCTATCCGCTGAGGAGTTCAGGGGCCCAAAGACAACTGCTACGATGTAAACATCACGTATCTTCTTCTGTCATCCACCATCACGACCTGGTAGCTGAATTGGGCAGTATCTTGCATCGGGAATGACTAGAAAAGCTGCGGTAAGTGCCTCAAATTTCAGATGATCTCGATGGTATATAGGTAACACCACCACCGGGAGATGAACCGTCATTCCGAATGACAGACATTTCATTAAGTTCAATCTCCGGATCTAATAAGTAGTTTGAGAGCCGTTCCAGTGACTGCTATGCTCTCACAAGTTGTTATATTTTATTGATGGCGTAGTTCCGGGAGCTAAGAATACAACACTTGAGTGTTTGTGTAGCAGCATTTTAGCTGCTGAAGTATTAAGGGCTCTTGTTTGCTGTGTTTGACTGGAAAGAATGGTGCCGGTCTGTTGACGCTTTTGGGAACAGTATTTGTACAATCGCCTAATATGAGCAAGGAACAACTTAGTCTGGCCAAGCTGTAACTAGGGTCAGTATCGCTTGAAGGAATGGTCTTAACAGTACTTATTGTGGCCCAAGTTTGCTGTCTTCATATCACGCTTGGATTGCCATTGATACCGTCTCGGGCTTGGCCAAAGTAACTATCACGCTTTCTGGCCAGATGCCGTGGTGGTTATTGGAGTCAACTACAACATTCCTCGGCCAAGTTGCCCCTTGGGAAACAGAATTATTCTGAACGGCAAAGCAGATGCCCTGAGGGGTATACAAGATGAGTCTTTACTCAATTACTTTAAGCCGTGCGTGTGCCGCTCAGTTGTGCAGGTGTGCGTGTATTGGTCGGTGCCTTCAGCCAGTAGGACCGCAGACACATTTAGTCATAGGAGTGCAGGTGGGACGCTACAGCTCCTACCAGATTTAGTGTCGGTGCCCGATGCACCATGTGGGGCTATGTTTCTCTGTCTAAATAAACGATTCCCACCAATAAGAGGGAGAATAGGAATTTGAACGATGATTGGGTTGGTATAACGAGCCACAGCTAAGTAAGTTTGCCGTGTGATATTGAACTTGCAGTTCACCTAAACGCAATGGTTGGCTTGTATATTCGGCACTCGAGGGAGGTGAAGAACGTCCTATTGAAAGCGTACGAGGAAGGAGACGATGGGAAGCAGGTCGGTTGCACACTGAAGTTGAAGGTGTATACTTGCCGCAACTGGATACGGGGTCATTCCAGTTTTCTTATTTACTTTGCCATTATCAACGTCCTTATTCACTGGCTCTCCAAACATAATCAACGACAGGTGGTAGAACATGACTGCTTGCCACACAACCGTGTTAGAGTGGCATCTGTTTGTCAAGCTGTCGCATGATTGTTCTACAACTCGACAACTAAAACGGGTATGAGAAGCGACCACACATACGAACATACCGGAAATCCACGATGTACCCCCGAATAGAGAACTGGCTATTTCTAGCAGGGTATAAAGAGCACTCTGATCCACCATCATAATAAAGTAAGAACAGCTCTCGTTTAGGACAGTTAGTTTACTGCCAGCAGAATGTTCTGCGGATCGGCGAAATGAAAAACAAGTTCACAATTCTTACTGACATACTGAACCATTTGTTCGCAGTGCTGCTGCATCACTAAGGCCCGTACTTCAGACATCACCTGCTCCAAAAAGCGAATCCGCCACTAACTTTTACTCAGAATGCCTTCAGGGTCCCCCAGGAGCATCTCGGAGTGCCGTCCCTTCATTGTCTGTTTTACATGAGCCTTTATTATGCTCCAGATGTCTTCGATGGTAATGAGAGCTGGAGAGTATGGCGCAAGGCTTAGAAGTCTCCCAAAGCGGTACCGTACCTCCGGGAAAACGTGCTCCAGGTGCGTGTGACCGGCGCGTTGTCACAAATCAAAAGACACCTTTCCACAAACCCTGCTCCATTGGCATTGAGCAGTTGTCGCAGCCACTGAGTGCACAGTTGCATGTCGTAACTTCCTCTCAGAACCGAACACGCTAACAAGCCATTGTTTGTCATGGCGCCGACAAGCTAAACATTCGGTCCCCGGTTGTTCGCCATTATACACTACGCTCGACTACCACGTCGTGAGCGGCCACGAGTGCGGGAGCAAAATAAGTTGAAGTTGGTCTCATCAATCCACACCGGTTGCCTTCCTTCCACCTCGTAATCTATGAGCTGCAAAACAAATGATCTGCGTCGTTTTTTGTTCTCCAGCGTGTTCATGGACTCCGGAATGGTGTACAGTTTCTTCATTGTTATAAGTCTACCATCCAAGTATCGTGAGACGGTGATGATACTTACTGAAATTTTGGACTACGCCTTCCACCGCAAACGAAAGAGTTCCAAGGTAACTGTGGGCTCCGCAGAAACCCACTCCAACAGAGCATCGACGTGGATTTCTCCCATTGCGCTGCGATGGACTCCCCCGTGCTGCCCCGCCGGTTCCGTCGATTCGTACGCCCGTATCCAGTTGCGGCAAGTATACACCTTCAACTTCAGTGTGCAACCGACCTGCTTCCCATCGTCTCCTTCCTCGTACGCTTTCAATATGACGTTCTTCACCTCCCTCGAGTGCCGAATATACAAGCCAACCATTGCGTTTAGGTGAACTGCAAGTTCAATATCACACGGCAAACTTACTTGGCTGTGGCTCGTTATACCAACCCAACCGTCGTTCAAATTCCTATTCTCCTTCTAATTGGTGGGAATCGCTTCTTTAGACAGAGAAACATAGCCCCACATGGTGCATCGGCCACCGACACTAAATCTGGTAGGAGCTGAAGCGTCCCACCTGCACTCCTATGACTTAATGTGTCTGCGGTCCTACTGGCTGAAGGCACCGACCAATACACGCACACCTGCACAACTGAGCGGCACACGCACGGCTTAAAGTAATTGAGTAAAGACTCATCTTGTATACCCCTCAGGGCATCTGCTTTGCCGTTCAGAATAATTCTGTTTCCCAAGGGGCAACTTGGCCGAGGAATGATATAGTCGAGAGATGTCCAAAGCTACTGCATTTCGCATGTAGTAGAGCTCTGTGTGGCACCTCCATTCTTCGATGTCGTGCTTTTCTCGTTCACTTTTCTTGTCATGCTTTAATTCTGGCACACCGGGAACTAGTAAGTTAGTCGTTGCGCGAAGCTCAGCTGGTCGCACCACCGGATATTGTGCAAGGACAGTGGGTATCGTAACAAATAACCGCGTATTTGTTAACTGTAGTCGTGATGGAACCTACAGCAGCTGGGAACCACTTAGCATTCCGCCCAGAATCTGTCATGTGTGCCGCGTATCCACATTGGCACCAGTGAGCGGATGTCTCATATTTCGGCAATGCACACACACACGCACACACACCCACACACGCAAGCACACACCTCCTCCATGCCACGGCGTAGACGTCTTGAGAATCATCAGATGCTGCATTTTTAGGTCGATTTTTGAAATATTTGCTAATTTCACAGGCCTGTTTGTGCGCAGATTATTAAAAAGTTATAATCAGCAACAAAATATCTTGATAAAAAGCTACCGGAAGTGTTCTGTCTGGTTAATAGGTAAAGGAACTGAGGACGCTATTTGGTTCTACATAACAGGCATGTTCACGTAGCGAGGCACATACGGAAGACGCAAGCGGAATCAAAAGTTTGATAAATTTTTCGTCATGTATAGAATGAGTATAATAATCTTGTTGCCCGATGTTACTTACACAGAACCTGGAGGACAAGCATGCTCTTCGAACTGCTCTCGAAACGAAAGTGAATAATTTGTGGGCAGAGTTCAAAACGGCTCTCAACCAGTATAACAGAACAACAGATGAGAAGGTCGGATTCTTCGAAACACTGAAGCTTAAAGACGAGAAATCCGCTGATGAAATCGAAATGCAGATGCGCAAACTGCAACGAATCAGTGAGCAGATTTCCATCACGAGGCGTCGAATGTGTAAAGTCGGAAAGGAGTTCGAGGAAAAGAATCGGCACTTGAAAGAGGAACGCGAAAAGTTGATGATACACTTTCAGTCTTTGAAGACCCAACTGAACAAACTGCGGGAATCACAACACGAAAAATTGGTAAAAGTGTCACTGGAAAGTGGCGCAGCAAATAAAAAGGTACATTTTCAGTGTAAACATGACATGATGCAATTCGCCGAAGGTCGCTGCCAGTGTTTACCTCATATATTTACTAAGTTTATGGCGTATTCTCAGCCAGCCTCCTTCGGCGGAAGCATATCATGAGAAAGGCATGACATGTAACATCAATAAATGAATAACTGTTTTATTTCTCAACGATGTGAGATACTGTTCCCGCGTAGGGACAAATCAACAGGTACACGGCATGTAAACTTGGTATGTATGCAGGCGCATGTTAAGCGGGCAGCAGTATCACACATCCTTTGTGTTTATTGATAGTAGTAGTTGAGTATTCTCGGGAGTAGCGTCGACAGAGAAGTTCCTCAAATTCGAATCAAGGCATCCATGGGTCTGCTTTCGTCACTTGCTAAGCGTAGTTGTTCCACTCTGGCTTTCGGTTCGTCGATGAGTGTAGGTGTTGTTGTCTTTACCTCCAACATGTGTGATGGCGGGTCTAGACAGACACGTGCACACAACCCCAGACACACACACACACACATAACTACACAAGTATCTTTTTCCCTACTGGTCCATCTTCCTACTTCGACATCAAATTTACTTACGTAGTTAGATGCCTTTCAGATTACAGTAGTTTGCCTACCGGAGCGACCTCCTTACGTTGGCTCGTGCATCTGACTTTTCGTATACAACAACGGCTTACGAATCTACGTCATGGAATTACATCCTCCTGCAGTGTACTCGTCTGATCCGACCTCATGTCCTACCGAAAGTGCGTGGGCCCAGTGGAAAACATTGTTTGCAAACTATCTTGACCTACTACCTGCGCCTTGTAACTACACAGAAGGCCAGAAACTGAAGCTTCTCAGACATCTACTCGGTGTTGAGGGACAATGTAAAATTGATGTTTTGGAGCTCCAGTCTCACTATAGTTTAACGAAAGCACTAGATGTGATGGACAAGTCATGAGGCCAGCGTACAAACCTCTTCATAGTTCGCCTTAAATTCGGCCGATTTACAGAGAAACCATTGAAAACTAGACAGTTTTGCTGCTCGCTTCATTCAAGGTGTACGACCCTGCGAATATCCACCTATACCGAAAAATAGAATACAGAGAGTCATACTTGTGCAGCAGTTGATTAGTGGACTCACCAATAACCGAATTCAGGAAGGATTAGTTTCGGAAGACGCTTCCAAATTGACTTGGGACAAGTCTGTGTAATTAGCTCATCTCAATCATTTACGGCCAAACAGTTGCGAAGTTTCGTTACCCACGCAGTTATACAAGAAGTTGCCAAAATCCATTGCTCACCATCCGAATCACAATCCCCACAGAAATGGTTCCGCTACGGCAGCTTACAGCATAAAGCCTATTTCGCAGTGCCCTGCTTTAGAAATGGATTGCAAAAAGTGCGGTAAGCATGGACATTTTGTCCGATGTTGTCGATCAGTACCCATTTCTGCTTTGCATCATACAGATTCCGTTTCTACTCAGCACTTAAAGTCATCTGAAAATGTATTTTCCATTGATAACAGAGGTACTGTTTCTCACTATCGTTCCTCTTGTTCAGAGCCTAAACTCCCTATGCCTGACATTCGTACTGTTACAGTTATTGCACGCGATAAAACAACACATGTTTACATGGAACTGGATTTAGTCTCTCCTATCACTATAGTACCAAGTGGTGTTTATGACAATCACCTACATTCTGTGCCTATACATCCTTCAGCCTATCGATTTGGCAGTTATACGAAGGTCCTGGCAGAGATACGAGGTATGGTGGTGATTGTTTTGTAACATGAGGCCGTAAAATCATCAGTTGCTGTGTACGTCACCCACGGAAATAACCGTCCCTTACTCGAGCGCAACGCTATGGTTGTACTGGGAGTCACGCCGTCCCTATGTCGTATGTGTATCAGGGCGGTTAACCTATCAGACCTACAGATACAGTACCCGAAACTGATTGAACAAACAATAGGGCGCGTGTGGACAAGATTTTGCCTTACCCTGCATGAACTCTGCTCCACTACCACGACATGCAAACAAGTTTCCATAGGGAAGAGACGCCCAGCACTCATCCGAAGTCATACACGAAAGTGGATTGCCTCCAGGGACATGGCATGGAGAGACTATCGCTCCCATCCAACGGCTACTCAGTGGGAATGTTACCGATTCATCCGTAATCAATGCGTCTATCTTGTACACGCCGATATGTGAGCATCAGCGTCAGCTTATGCTTAAATTTTCATGTAATCCAAAAGCCTTGTATAGTCACGTCAACAGTTTTCCACAAGTCAAACACGGTGTCATCGCGCTGAGGACTTCCACAGGACTCACAAAGTCAGCGGACGAGATAGAAGAAGTGCTGTGCCAGCAGTACTCATCCGCATTCTCCGTTCCATCAGTGCATACAACAATAGTACCTTCCTCAGTCTCACCCCCAAACTTCCCTGACGACTGTTCAGTTCACTCCGGAGAAGGTCCTGGCGAAACACAAATCGCTGCGGCTGACGGCCTCTTCCGACGCTGATGGTTTCCACCCAAGGCTCCTACGAGCGTGCGCTGCAGCTATAAGTTTACTCCTAGCGCAGCTGTGCGCCCATTTCTTCTCGCAAGGTGAAGTTCCAAACGATTGGAAATCTGGGACTATTACACCAATCTACAAAGGCGGTGCTCGCAAAGACCCTGCGAATTACCGACCGATATCCCTCATCTCTACGATCTCCAAAGTGATGGCATCGATCATCGCAGACGCTGTAATGGACCACATGGAGACCCAGCAACTGCTCTCCGATTGCCAGCACGGCTTTCGGTGGCACCGGTTGTGCATGAGTAACCTGCTACTTGCCAGGAATAGCTGGACGACTGCTGCCGACTCTGGCCTAGAAAGACATGTCATGTTCTTGGATTTCGCCAAAGCCTTTACAAGGTCGACCACAACATCATACTACAGAAACTGTTGTCTTACGGCGTATCAGGAGCCTTGTTGGACTGGATCCGGAACTACTTCTAAAACCGTGCCGTCCAAGTACGCGTCGACGGGGAACCGTCCCCGCGCATCCTTGCCAAAAGCGGGGTTCCACTGGGGTATGTTCTCAGACCGGACCTCTTCCTAGCCTTCATTGATGACGTCACACCGCAAGTGGGGACTTCGCTGATGCTATATGCGGATGCTGCGAAGCTGTGGCGCACAATTAACGTCCCGGACGATGTCCACGCACTTCAGACGGACCTCGACTGTTTACAGCAGTTGTCCATAGAAAACAACCATCCATTTAACACATCGAAATATCGCATCCTTACTACACGCCTCTCCGCTTTTTCCCCTATAAATTTCCTGGGAGCGTCTATCCACCAGATATCGTCAGCCAAAAGAGACTTGGGTATCATTACTTAGACGAGTCTTTCCGTATCCGCTTACTGCCGGAAAGGAACTTCTGCTGCTAACCGCATGGTGGGAGTGCTGAAACGAGCCTTCGGCCAAATTGATCCTAGCGCTTGCCGCCTCAGCCTCAACACTTTTCTTCGATCCCATTTGAAGTTTGCTACTTAGGCTTGGAGCCCCTGGCTGCTGAAGGACCAACATTGACTCAAAGCCCCACAAAGTCGAGCAACAAAACTGGTCCAAGGTCTCAAACACTTAGACTATCCACAACAACTTCACTGCGTGGGCTTTTACTCGCTTAAGTACCGACGACTCCGGGGCTACCTGATCCTTGTATTTATGATCTTATCCAACCCTGGACATTCCTTCCGCCACCTACTCACACTGCACCAATCTTACTCCCACCTACGTGGCCCCCCACTGAGGCTCACACATCAGCATAGTCAGCTGAACTGCAGACGACACTACTTCGGTTTGCGAATCTGCAGACCGTGGAATGCTCTGCCTGCCGATTTAGTCTCGGCACCTTCTGTGGCGGAATTTAAGAACCGCCTGGACTGTCATCTGGCTGAGCTACACCGCGATATTCCCTGAGATAACTACCTTCTACTTGATGGAGCTTCTTTTCATTTTTCTTTTCTACCCAATTCCTTTCCATAGCCGTTTCGGAGGGCGTGATGGAATGTCACGCTTTGAGCCGACGTGCATTCTGTCTAAATGCTGCATAAGCCCGATGAAGATACGGCTAACACGGGAGTCCAACATGCTATAAGGTTGTTTGGCCTTTTATCAGACCCGACCCTAAATGGGTTATGTAAAGCCCGAGCTTTTATTCCCATTAAAAACAATGTGCCAATATTTCTAATGTTCCCTCCTCCGCTCAGCGCATATGTCTGAGGCAGGATGCTAAGCCCGTAGCTATTGCTCAGTCACGTCCAATACCTTTGGCCAGAAAGGAGGCTATTTCGCCAGCATTACGATAAACAATTGCAGATAATCTCATTGAACCCATTAACTGTTCTGAATGGATCCACCCTTTGGTAACAGTCCTCAAGAAGGACGGTACAGTAAGAATATGCAATGACCCGCAGGCCCTAAATCGTCAAGCCGTAGTAGAAAAGTTCGTGCTTCCAACCGCGAATGAACTATTAGTTAAGCTAGCCGGCGCCCGATTCTTTTCAAAATTGGGCCTGCGGAAGGCTTCCTTTCACATGCCTCTAATGCAGGAGTCAAGCTCACGGACTGCATTTCTTACAATGGACGGGCTCTTTTAGTACAAAGTCTTGCCAATGGGCTTGAGTTCAGCCCCAGCAGCTTGGAAAAAGTTTATGGTTCACACATTTGCCAATTTACCTGGACGACATCTGTGTATTCGGTAGGACTCCAAAGAAACATGATTCATGACTGCATGCTGTGTTACGTCGACTACATGAACTTAACGAATGAAACCTCAAGGAGTGCAAATTTAATGGTGGTGAAATCGAGTTTCTGGGCCACATTATAACAACTGATGGTATGAAGCCGAGTGTTGACAACACGCGCACTATCACCGAGGCTCCTCGTCCAGAGAACTCTACCGAAATAAAGCATTTTCTAGGGATATGTTCTTACAACCTACCTTACCTGCAGGATTTC